GCTTTTTGAAGAAGTTTCACTTTGGCGTTTTAATCCACCGAACTAGAAGAAAAAACGTGTGCTTTTCAACTACCGCACATGCATGTCACGCATCTCCAAGTTCATTTGCGTTACAGCGCTAAATATCAATAATGAGCACTTATCACCCTGTCCAGATACAGAAATAATGCCTGTTCCCCTTTTGATCGACGATGTTTAAATATCTCTGTCCTTAACTTTCGCTTGCGCTATTCAGACTTTCGCCACTAGCTCCTTTTCCTCTGCAGCAAACCACTGAGTACCCTATGGGACTAGTTTTCAACTAAACTCCCAGAATCATCAAAGTTTATGTTACCACCATGACTATCGACAAAGATGACATTGTAGAGTTCCATGCTGTTTTTGGACCCCTTCTAATCGTCAAGTCTATGCACATGGTCGTTTGCTAAGGCAGCGCCGAACGTGCAAAAGATATCACTAACATAGAATCCCCTACCGAATGTCGGACGATCTTAATGCGTCTGGACAACTGGAAGCGAATTTTACATATTTCTTATATTTTTATAGAGTTGGTATATTTTATATTTATGTATGTATATATTCTTATGTTTTTGTGCGTCTTTGCATATATCAGATATAAAAACGCATATTGACAAGAGGCTGTCTGTGTGTGTTTATCTGCTTGTGTCTGTGTGTTCGTACTTTTTGTCACCCATTTTCAATTCGAAATCCAGAAAAGCTAGAGAGCTGAAACTTCGAGAGTGTGTGCCCACCTCATGTATGACCCTCCCGTTTTAATACTATCATAAGCCTAAGCCTGGGTACTGCGTGCAGACGCCTTAAAGAAATGTGCAAATTTTTTGGCAGGGAAGCGGCCTCGGGACCAGACAAGGTAGGAGAAATATTCTCAGTGCATGTGTGAGCTAAAGATTTCAAATTCAGCCCCTAGGTGTTCGTGATTTACAAGTGCGCATGCATAAAAGATTTAGCGAAAAAACTGTAAACTCAGTAACCAGAAAAGCTGGAAGGCTGAAATTTTAAGGGTATATTCTTCGTCTACGTACAACCTAAAGATTTCAAATCCGAACACCCAGTACGCGTTCTCACGTACAGGCACGCTTGCTGAACAGCCAG